CGAGGTGCCTCTGGGAAGTAGCTCAGCAAGGCACTCTTGGCTTCTCAGAAGGGCTTACTACCCAACCTGGCAAGCAAGCAGCTTGGGGCGGGGGTGCAGTCTGTCTGTTTTTATCCCTAACACCACACTGCCCCTTACTCTGATAGGAGGAGCTTGGGGTTGCAGTCTACTGGATCTGCTAATTTTAAAATTGGGGAGGGCGAAGGGAATCACTATAGTTAAAATGGTTACAATTGGATCTTCACACGTGGCTATGATTGGACCTTATATCCCAACTATGGCTATATGCTGAATACTATATGCTGAAAATGGACCACTGAACTTTCTATTTCTCACAGCCCATGAGAGCCCCTGGGATCATGTGATTTCATGGGTCATTCATGGATCAGGTCTGGGACATGGAGCCTCAGTAAACCCACTCCTCCCTCCTCCCCTTCCTCCTCCTCACCACCAGCAGCAGCAAAGGACTCCAAGTACTCGGGCTCTATGAGGCACATCTACTTTACTCTAAGTCCTCATGGTAACTCTGTGTGGCTGGGTTTCCTTCCCATTTTATTGGTGGGAAAACTGAGGCTCAGTGGGAGGACATGATTGGCCCCAGGGAATCAGGTTTTACTCTACATCATGCCACTCTTCTGTCCTAAACCTGTCTGTGGTTCCATTCTGCCTACAGGGCAATGGCCCAGAGCCTTGCCCCCTGGCTCCTGAGTGCAGCCCTGCTCTATTATATCCCCTCAGCTGCACCTGGGAGCCCTGCCCCCTGCGTGAGAAACACATGGAGGCCCCCAGCTCCCCTGGCTGCTTCATGACCCTCTGCCAGCATTCTTGGTCTCTGTTGCGTTCAGGGGCAGCTGTGACAATGGCTAACCCATGCTGCAGCCCTTGGTTTCCAAGGCCCCTTTACATTGATTATCTCACTAAAACCTCCTTCCTCCTCCCCTTCCTCCTCCTGTGCCAGAAGTGTTTTTTATTATCTCCCCTATAGTGGTGAGGAAAATGAGGCTGAGAAAGGGAAAGAGATGACCTGGGGACAAGCCCAAGCCCAGGCCCCTGGGCTCCTGACAGCCAGCCCGAGGTCTTGACCAAACCTGGAGGACCTTTGGGTAGGGATGGAGAAGGAGGAGCTGCCCTCCTGAATGGGGGCAGCCTGGCCAGTCCTGGAAGCCATCTGTGTTTTCAGGTCTCCCTTGGAGGAGGCGGCTGCCCTCTGGAAGGAGCGGTCTCCAGTGGCCCACTACCTGGGGCCCGCGTCCCTGGTCCAACCTGCTCTGTGAATCTGAGGCCAGCTCTCCTGGCTCCTGCTGAGACTCCAGTCAGTCCTGTCTCTGCTCAGACTTTCTCTCAGCTGTGTTTTTCTGTCTTTCCCACCCGGGCCCCTTCCACCTACACCCCCTCCTCTCTGGACTGTCTCTGCTCTGCGTCTTTCTTCTCTGTCCTTACTCGCTCCATTCATCTTGCCATGTATTTTCCTTCTTTTCTCTTCCTGCATTTCTCTTCTCCCACCCCTTTGTCACCATTCTGCTTGGCCTGTTTCCATCCTCCCTGAGTCCCAGTGGAGAGGATGTGAATGAAAACCAGGAAGAGGCATCTGGGAAGCCCTTGAACCCCCAGCCCTTCCTTCCTGGGAACTTGAATCTTCAGGTTAGAAATTTGATCCCTCTTTTTTTTTGGTCACTGAAGAAAGAAATGGAAAATAAGAAGAAGAAGAAGAAGAAAAAAAAAAAAACCACAGGAACTGTTTTTAAAGTCCAGAACCAACCAACATAAAAAGTGATTTTATGAAAAATTTCTGAAAATAATTTTATTTTACAATGCCATTAATGGCGGCCAGCCCAATTGTGATCGCCTGGCTCCCTGGCTGGGTGAGCAGCACCTGAAGCCATAGTCTGTGCCTAGCTCAGCCCCATGCAACCTGATTTCTGTCCTGCAATGTCAGCCCTGGGAGGTGTGAGGAGGTGGAGAGTTTGTTGCCTGGCTCACAGATCCCTGGGGCTCCTACCTCCCTCAGCTCACGGAGCCAGGCTGGTAGGTCCAAGCATATTCTATCCACCCACAGCCCAGATATGGCCAGGGCATTCTGACTCCAAAGTACCTGGTCAAGGTTGTCCTAGACACCCAACTCCTCAGCTGGGGCCCAACACTCTGTGACACTGAGCTTGCTGCCTCAGCCTCCCCATGCCCACTTGGATGTGATCTAGGCCCAGTCTGTGGTCCCCTGTTTCAATTTTTCACCAGCAATGGAGGCCTGCTGCAGACTGGCTGGCATTTGGGGTTAGGATTCTGGTGGCAGTGGTGGACACAGCTATTTGCAGTTTTCCTCTTCACCGAGGAGAGGTAGTGCCGCCTCCCTTGGTTTCTCTCCACCTTCCCAGCTCCTCACCTTTTGCTTTGGTTTGTGGTGTGTCCTTCAAAACCCATTGTTAAAATCTTAGTCCCCAGCATAGTGCTATGGGAGGTGGTAGAAACTTGAAGACGTGGCTGGTGGGAGATGGTCAGGTCCCTGGCAGTGGGCCACCAAAGGGATGTGGGCCAGGGTTTCTTCCTTTCTTTTTTGATTTCCAGCCATAAGGTGAGCAGTTCTGCTCTGCCATATGCTTCTACTATGCTGTGCTGTCCTGCTGCAGGCCCAAAGCTGTGGAATGGATCAAAGGCATAGGCCCAAGGCAATCAGCATGGACTGAAATCTCCCAAAATTTAAGCCAAAATAAACCTTTTCTCTTTATAAATTGACTTATCTCAGGTATTTGGAATAATTTAAAAAGACTTCTCTTTCTTCTGTCTGTTGATTCCATTTCTCCTGCTCTCCTTTTCAGGAATGAAATACTAGAATTCCTCTTACAAGTCAGATACAGTATCTTCCCTCCACCTGCTTGGAGTTGGGAGACTGGTTTTCCTTCTGACCTCAAGCCTTGATGAAGGCAGCCCCCCAACTCTAGTGACCTCAGAGTCAGAGGGCAGGACTTCCTGGGCAGAGGGGCAAGCCCTCCAGGGTAATAGGCACAAACACTGGGGTAGCCCTTCTTGTCACCTGTTGCCATGTGGAAAGCCATATATCAGAGGCTTGGAGGAGTCCCTTGTCCCTTCAGTCACCCATTTCATTGCCCGAATGGGGTCCAAGACCCCATGGCTTCTTCTCCAAGTAGTTCTTGAACTGAGGATTATGGTTCCCAAGGAAGGTTGGGAGGTGGCTTCTGCACTGAGCTCCTGGCAGGTGATGGCAGGAGCTTCCATGGGGGGAGCAGCTGGTGTGGAGGGGCAGTGCATTAGGGTTCTGGCCACATCAGGCATCCTCCCCATGGATGTCACCCCTGAAGACCTTCAAGGGTCATGGGGAGCAGGACAGGGATTTTTTTTCTGGAGCTCCATCCAATAGCTGGGTGGGACCTGGGCATAGCTCACTATGTTGGGCCTCAACTGCATCCTAATTCACCCACTGGCCTGTGAAATGTGGGTGCTGATGCCTTCCATGCCATAGCTACAGCTCACGCACAGTGGCTCAAAATAGCTGGATAAAAGTGAAGAATCTGCTTGGACCTTGACAACTGGGGTTCCTGTCCTGGCTCCAGCTTTTATGAGCTGTGTGATCATAGTTTTGACTTAAACTCTCTGAATGCAGCTATTTCATCTGTAAAATGAAGTTAAGGAATAGCAGCTTTGAGATTTAAATTATTCTGGCATTAAATGCTCAGAACTTTGATACATAGTAAATACTAAACAAATGTTAGATTCCACTTGCATTATTAATACTTTTTCTAGAAACGGGGCCACCGCATGCAGTCCCTATTGCTTTTAATAGGAGCTGGCAGAACTCAGTGACCATGTCCCACGAATGGCCTCTGGTAAAGTCGTCTGGGGTTTTGGAAACAGGGAGACTTGTTCCACTTTAAACTTCTCTCCCTGGTAGAACTGCAGCTGGTCACCTATCCCAGCCAGCTGACCCTCCATGGTAAGCTGTGCTGGGCTGTGATATAAAGAGCACCATGTATCTTATCTGAAACCTTCCCTTCTCTTCTAACTTTCCTTCTGCACTGACTCCATCATTCTTCTATGAGCACCCACTGCATACAGTATCTCCATGGAAGATATAAACCGGTGTGCTCAGGGCTGACTTACACAGAGATGCCCAGCCATGGTCCTAGCCCAGGGAGCCAAGAGGAAGGCAAACAGGGGCAGAGACTCTCAAACAATCTGCAAGGGCAGGGTGCTGTGGGGACACTGGAGGAGCGCCAACTCAGCAGGGGGACAGAGGGAGGCTGCACGGAGCTGAGCGGAGCGGGTATCACTGAAACCGAGTGTGTGGGACCTGTAGGGAGCAGCATGCGCCAAGCCAGGTGGTGGGGAGAACGGGATGAACTTGGAAAGCACTGGGAGAGAAACTGTTGAGAGGTGATTTCCATGTTGGAGACACGGTCAGGGACCTGATCCCAAAGGCCTTTGTCAACAGTATTGTTGACCTTTATCAAAAATAACCAGGGAGACATTGAAACATTTCCAAGGCAGGGAGAGAAGTGGCTATTTTTGTGGGTTGTAGAGCTCACTGTGGCTCCAGGGAAGAGAGTGGAGTGGAGGGGACAGAGATGTAGGTGGCAATAGTCCTGATGAGGGCCTGGGCCAGGGTGGAGCCATGGGATGGAAAGAGGTAGGCAGGATTGGTAAGGAACAGTCACAAGTCTTGGTGCGTGAGGGAGCTGGTATAAGGGAACCTCATGGTGACCTGTGACCAGCAGGTTCCATCTGTGCTTAACATACCCAGTGCCTCCTGCTCCGCACCTGTGGGTAACTCCCTTTGGCCACAGTATTACCTGCGTCTCCTTGACACGAGCCTCTCAATTCACAGGGCCCTGCTCAGACCACCCTCTGAGCTCCTGCTAGAGCCTGTGTGGAAAGTGAGCTCACTGTAGTCTTCCACATGGTGCCTCAGGCCCTGTTGCAAAGCAATTGTCCAAAAGTGCCTGACAGGAAGAGGGAGGGAGCCCTCAGCACACAGAAACTCCAAGCCGTTGAGTTCATAATGTCTTTTATTAATATATTATGCTACAAAAATATTTTTTTGGCAAAATAACATTAATAGCATCTTTCTTTGTCTTCTATTATACTCTTAAAGAACTCTCCATGACAATTCACAGCGGCGAGGGAAGAGGTGGTCAAAGAACATTGTGAGCACCTTCCAAATACATCAAGGACTGAAGCCCGCAGGGCATGGCGAGGCAAACTGGGAGGCCATCGGCAGTCTCTGTGGGCTCAGGAAGGGGCAGGGGCTCCGGCCTCTCCTCTTTGGGGCTATAGCCACCTTTGACCAAGAGGTGGCCCCTGCCCACCCCAGCCACCAGGGACCCAAGGAGTCTGAGAGCTATTTGTCTCTGGCCGCTCATGGGAGACACCTTAGACTTGGATCCTGTTCAAAACCCACTTTCCCTACAGCAAGACTTGGGGTGGAAGGGGCCTGCTACTCCATGGTCTTTCCTGTCTGCTACATGCCCTGCCCCTGTGCGGGAGTCATGGTTCCTGGGAGACAGCTCAGCCTTGAGCCTGAAGGAGCTGAGCTTCACTTTCATGGATCCCCATTCCAGTCCCAGAAAGCAAGATCTCCATGTGACAGATGAGGAAATGGAGGCTCAGGGAGGGGCAGAGACTTGCCCAAGGTCACCAGCAAGTCGAAGGGGTACCCAGAGTACCTCTGGGGAGGAAAAGCCCAGCTTGCCTTTGAAGAAAGGCTGTGGAGAGCTGATACTCCTTGGAAAGGGTCAGGTAGGGACCAGTAAGTTCTTGTGAACCTTCTCTTCTCTTCCAGGGTTGCGGGCAGGAAGAGAAGGAGCTCTGGGTTGGGCCTGAGGGCCTGGGTTCCAGTCCTGCCCCCCACCCCTTCCAGAGGTTCCCATGCCCAGGGCAACAGGCAACCTTGCCAGTTCATGGGGACCTGGCCGGGCAGTTGTAGAATGGGATTGGGGTGAGGGGGAGGCTGGACTGAGTCCTGAACCCTACTGGTTTAGACAGCCAGCTGGAGTGCTATTTTTGGCTGCAGAGATGAATTTTTGTAAAAATAACACTGTTCAAAGAACCTGAGCCTTACTGAGCCAAGAGGCACCCTCCATGTCATCTACACCAGTGCTGTGCCAAGACGTCAATTCGCCTACCACGTCTCCCGTCAGTGGGGACGGAACACCTCCACTGACAGGAAACTGCCCCCTCAGGGCACCATCCTCCACCAGCTTGGGCTTGGTGGAAGTTCTCCCACCGGCAGAGCTAAGTCTTTCTCCTTCTTTCCTACCTTCATTCATTTCTCTCTGCTTCCTCCCCTCTCTCTTTGCCTCTCTCTGCATCTACTGAGAACCACCTTTGTGCCAGAGGAGGATACAAAGACAAATTCATGGGACCCCTGCCTGCTAGTCACTTTCAGTCTCATAGAGGAACCAATTCACAATGACAGTCACAATACATGGAAGTGGGTATTGTGACAGATGCTGTGAAAGCACAAAGCCATCAGAGGGGGCTTCCTGGAGGAGGTGCTATCTGGGTTGATCCTCACAGGATGAGCTGTTAGGGGGAAGAGAAGGGAGTTTCCAGGTCTAGGGAGTAGCAGATGTAAAACATCCTGTTTATTCTAGAAGTGACAAATACAATTCCATCTGGGAGAGATGAGAGGTGAGAGATGAGAGATTCCATAATGGGAGACATGAGAGGTGGCCAACAAGGTCAGCGGGACCAGATCATGGAGGGTCTAGAATAACAGATGGAGGACTCTGGCTCTTACCTCATAGTCACTTAAAAAACTATCACCAGCCCCGATTCTGTTCTCAGTCACAAAGGATGCCCCCAAAGATTTAATCCCTGGGTGGAACTCTTCTCCTTCATTGTGCTTTAAATAGACTTGCCTTTTGGTAAAGGAAACTTTTACCTCCACTTTGGGATCTTTTGTGACAGTGGCACGGGGCTGGAGCCTGGGCCTTTAGGACAAGGGGCCTGAGATCCCAGGTTTGTCCATGTCAAGATGAGGTCAGGTGATAGAGGCCAGAATTCCATGTGAGGAAAATATGCTCTGGGTCTTTCATTGTAAGGGTAAATGTGCCCACAGGCAGCACAGGGTTCCACTCATTATAGACTCCAGATCTTTGACCCTTGGGGTTGGAGTGTCCCTGGGCCGCCCTTTGCCACTCCCTGGCAGTCTGATTCTTACATATCCACTGTGGATGATGGGGTTCTTCCTGTCTTCACCTGGTTCTTGGTGCATCAGACCAGCCACCAGAGGATGACCAGAAGAAATGGCCTTGTGACCTGCTCCAGAGAGCTCCTGGCCATTCCATCATCATCCTTGAGAGATAGGGGACACCACTAGCATGCTGCCTACCCTGCCTACCCTCAATCTTCTGGATCTCAGGCCTTCATCATTCCTGCTTGCTTCAAGGTTCCCAAGAAATACACACAAAGATCTCAGAGGAACAGGACATTTTATAGGCTAGGGGAATAGAACGTTCCAAAGGTGGCTGCTTATAGAATAGTAGTTCTATGGCACAGGATGAGAGAATTCAAGTGCCCCAGCCATGCAGATTCCTGTTTATGAGCTCCAGGTCTCAGGTGACATAGTCATCAGGTTCGGTTTGGTGGCCTTGGGGACCCGTGAACTCTAACTCTGGATGTCTGACCCACATTAGCCCTGGCTCTCCTCTGGCACATGTCTACCTAATCTGTAGGCTACATTCGCCTTTTTATAAACACATGACTGGTTGAGGGAGAATTTGAAATCTCCCTCTGGTCCAGTGGAAGGATCTGGAAAGATGAGGGCTGAATGGACCTGAAGTCAGGGGCCAGCAGAGCACCAGCTGGATGGGGCTGCCCTTCCCATCTTGATAGTGAGTTTCTGCAGACGAGGAAGGGTGGTTACAGTCAGCCCCAAGTGCTGTGAGCCGGGCCCTGCATGTGCTCTGTAATTACATGCTGCGTTAATTCACCTTTTTGGCCCTATTCCTGGCACAGATCTGGGCACAGTCAGGTGCCTGGACTGTTTCCCCAAATGCTTCATCTTTAATTAACCTCAGGCTCAATCTCCATCATCTCATGCCATTCTCTGCCCCAAACAGAGGGGAATCTGGCCTGTGTGTTTCTAATTCCTTTACACTTATCTCATCCCAATAGCGCTCTGCACGATCCGTTTGATGTCCAACTTCTGAGCCTGCTTTATAAGTCAGCTAAGCCCTTTCCTGCTCAGAAATAGGAAGTCACATTTTTTTTTTTTTTTTTTGCCAAGCATAAACTGACTCCAGTCCTGGCTGAGGTCAAGTTCAGTTTAGAACGTGGTGCCCATGGGGCTGGGATCGACTCTCTGAAGCAGAGATCCTAGCTCCTGCCAGGTCTCAGGCTCAAACTCGTCCGCTGGGACTGAGCTAGAAAGAATTCAGTTGCCTGCCAGGATGTCAGCGAAACCTCTGGCCATCCAACAAGTGGCCCCAAATTTTGCTGCCTCAGAACAGAGACAGATGCCAAACTGCGCCCGATGGCACTGGGGTCAATCAGATACCTCCAAGTCTGCCAGGAAACCTATGTACAGAGAAGCTAGTCAGCATGGGGCTGGAGTCAGTAGGCCTGCCTAGCTGTGTTGCCTTGGAAAAGTGTCTCCCTCCTCTGGGCCTCATTATTGCTCTTACTATTATTATGATTTATCAAGTGAGAGTTGTTTTTTCTTCCTCCTTTTGCAGGATCTAGGGCTCTGAATATAATTAGTGAGCCCCAGATCAGCTGAGAGGTCAGGGCTCAGAGTCAGCCTACCTGGGTTCTCTGTCTCTTGAGCCACCACCTTGGGGAGAGAGGGGTTGGCTAAGTCTGTCTTAGTCTCAGCTGCCTGCCTGTCCCCACATCGCTGCTCTGTCTTCCAGGGCCCTCCTGGTTGTACCCCACTTCCAGTCTCTGATTTGGCAGGAAAGTCTCTCCTTGGCTCCAAGATTTGACAAGTCGGGGCATAGGACACGTAGCACCTGCTGTTGCCGAAGCTCTTAGGTCATAGAGACCAATAGGAATAACTAGTCAAATGGTCACTCGGCCGGCATGGGAAGGGTTGAAGCTTGGGCATGTCCCAGTTTGGTGGGCTCTGCCTCCTTTAGAGCTTCCCTGAGCAGAGAGAACATGGACCACAAGACAAGAATCACTTTTGTGTCACACAGATCTAGAGTTGGGTGACCTTGCACAAGTTCCTTCACCTCTTTGGGGGTGGGGCTCAGTTTTCTCATCTGTGAAATGGAAATCATCGTATCTAGCACTGGCATGAGGATCCATGATGAAGTGAATGTGCCAAGTGCCCACCATGCTGTAGGATTTGGACAAATGGCAGCTCTCATCACCATTGTTATCATCATAACAGGTGACCCCTAGAGCCCTGTCCCTGAAATTGCCTTCTATACCCATTTCTGTCTTTAAGCCCAGTTGGCTTTACTTAGCCGTGTCTTCAACAACAGCCCTTATTTAACCCAAGTTGGAACAACAGTGCCAGACAAGGCCCGGAGACCCGTGTTTTGTTCTCCCATTGGCATCCCGACCTTGGGCAGCCCCAACTGGCTCTCTTTGGATCTCGTTGTAGCATCTGCTCTGTGGCACTGGGAACGCCTCCCTCCGCACCCCTGCACTTTGGTTGAAGTACTCACCGAGAGGTCTGGAGGGCCAGTTCACAGACGCTCAGGGGTTTTAAAATAGCAGCATTCTTTTTCTCAATGTGTCTTCCAGGCCCCGGGATGCATCCAGGGGAGGAAAGGATGGCCAGCGTTCACACTTCCGGCTCCCAAAATCCAGCTTCACAAAAGCTAAGCCTGTTTGCTTGCCCCACCCTCGGAGCTCCCGCAGTGGGAGAAGCCAAGCTAGAGTCAGGAGGCTTCTGCCATCCAGGAGCAAGCCGGTTGAAAGCCACGGTCCACACGAGGTCATAGATGTCTTGACAACCGGGGATCCCCACCCCTGAGTTGATGATGTTGGGGCTAATTCAGGAGTTATAACATAGGCCACATAAAAATAGTTTTATCGGTAGAATAAATACATTTTTCTCTTTTAATATGGACACATATTTTACAAAAGAGCCCCATAGCACTATGGGAAATTAAGACCTTCTACAAAAAAGAAGATGTAACTTGGGTAAAATAAAGCTCTAGTGTTCTAATGGGTCCCGACTGGACTGCCCCAGAGGGGTTGGACATGCCCCAGAGCGGTGGGGTGTGGCCGAGGACCCTTGTTTCTCTGGCTTCTGCACGGGGTGGCGGAAGTCAGGAGGGCCCCAGATTGTGCAGCAGGAAGGGGGCCACAACGGTGGCGGTGAGGATGGGGAGGAGGCCCAGGGTGGGCGCTGAGCTGCTGGCGGGCCCTGCTGGGTCCTGCTGTTGGGGCTGGTCCGAGAGCTGGAAGGGGGTCTTGGCAGTCCCAGAGCTGGGGGTGGGCTGGAGGGGCAGCAGGGGTGACGAGGCGGTGGTGCTGGAAGGGAGGAAACACACAGTAGAGTGACCATCAGAGCCTCGCCCTGGGGCTTGGACTGGATTCTATCAGATGCGTTTTCTGATTAAAAGGGGAAGGAAACAGGGGCGTGGATAGGGAAGATGAGAGCCCAGGTAAACTCTGGAGGTCACACTCTCCTGTGCCGGGTGTCAGGCCAGATCACCTATCACCGTTCACAGGACTAGGTCCCAGGCAGAAAGAGGTACAGTGCTAGGAAGGAGACAGTTCTGGGGGTGCCTGGAGTACTGAGCCCTCACACCAGGCCATAGGTGCCCCTGCCTCCTGCTGCTTCCCCTCCCAGCTGCTGAGAGACAGAAAATGAAGCACGCTACCGTTTTTATTGTGCTCATCACTACACCACCATCTGTCAAACACCCCTTAGCCAGGCACTTTAAAAGTCATGTTTCTGGTTCTCAAAGCAAACCTTCAAAATGGGTCTCCTTTTCATAACTTTAGGAAACTGGGGCTCAGAGAAGCTACCTGATGGCCAAGCCACAGGGGAAAGCGGGGTGGCATGACCATGGGGCACTAGGCCCAGCTCACTTTGCACAGCACAGAGTGACAGGTGCCATCCTCCATGAACTTATGAAAACAGAGACCATTTTCAGAGGTAACCAGTGAGATTCTCGCCTCAAGAATGTGACAGAGGAGGAGGGAAACAGGGAGGGAGACAGGGAAACAAGGGGAGACAGGCAGGAGGACTCTGCAGGCTGAGCCCAGCCCATGGGGCCTTGGGAAGCTGGAGGGGGAAGGCAGGGCCCACTGGAGCTCAGGACCAGGAAAGAGACAGATGGGAAATGGATGAAAACAGAGGGAAAGGTAGGGATGGGGAGGAGAGGAGGCAATGACAGAGGATGACAAAGAGAGACCACAGGGGAGAAGTCTCATAGATCAGTGGAGAAGAGGAGCAGGCACTGCGATGAAGGAACGGGCCCCAAACAATGATCAAGCCTACTTACAGGGAGCTGGATGAAGATGAGAACAAAGGAACCCACGAACCCCATCACACCCAGAGGGGAAGGCAGGGCCTGTGTGCAGCAGGAACACAGAGAGGCTCTGTTTCAACACAGGACCAGGAAGGTCTTGAGGGAGTGGGGACACTGCAGCCAGGAAGGTTTGCCCATGGGGAGGGCACACCTAGTAGTTGAGGCAAGAACCCACAGGGCCCTGCTCCTGTGTGAAGCACTGGCCTTATCTTAACCTTTGGTACTCAGGATGGCACTAGGAGGTAGGGGCCACCGTTACCCTGTGTACTTAGGCAGTTATTAGAAGGTGGGCAGCTAGGAGGCTCACCCCTCCCTGGGCAGCCTATGGGGCAGGCTGGTAGATGTGAGGCAGGGCAGTTTGCACAGGTTCTGCCTGGGTAGCCTCTTCCATGTGGGTCACTGCCTTCTTCCTGATGTCTGCCTCCATCCCTGACAGGCTGCTTACTCCCCAGGTCATCTAGGGGTACCCCTGGCCTACGTTCTTTGGGCTGGTTCATTAAGTCCTGACAGCTGGCCATAATCACCATGGCAAGCCCTGGAATAATCCCCAGCAGAGCCTAGTCTCCGTCCCAGCCTGACTGTTAGCCTCCCACACAGCTCAGACCCAGCCTCCACCTGGGTGGGTCTGCAGGGAACCTAGGGGTCAGCAAGCACTCCCCTGTCTCCATATAGGTTCAGGATGACACCTCAGCTTGAGAGTGGGAATCCAAATGGCTTTTGGGTACCAGTCCAGGCCTTCTGGATCTCAGGACAGGAAAGGGTCCTTACCCTCCCTGGCTCTCCCTCCCCATGCTGCCCTCATGCTCAATCTTGCTCAAGGTCTCTTTCCAACCTGGAGCCTACAGATGTGATGTACCAGAACCTTGGTCTTTGGAAAGTCCCAGAGGAGCTATCGTGAGAGGAGAGAGCAAAACCTTGTCCCACCCCGAGGACAGAGGCACAGCGTTCCTGCAAAGTGTGCCTGTGGAACTGGGTGGGCCAATGGCTTCTAATGCTCCTTTTAACTCACGGAATCCAGTGTGCCTCGCCTCCTGTGGGTGCTGGCTTCACGCCACCAGAGACCCATCACGATCTGTTCCCATGGGGGTGACTTCACCTTTCACAGTTTCCCTACACAGTGCCTCTTCAGTCACACTCTCTGCCTTACTGTCATTGTTCCATTCACCTTCAAAGGCCTGCCTCTTCCCTGGAGGACTTCTTTGATCTGTCCTGTATCCCTCAATGCCATCTGGCAGAGTTAAGGCTCCACAAAACCTTGGGCATCTCCCATTGACCTCAGTGAGTGGTAGAGACATATTATCTGAGGTTTGAATGGGTTTTGATGTGTCTTAGGATAATGCCTGGTAGCCAGGCAGCGGCAGATGGTGGGGGCTAGTTTAAGGGCAGTGTTATATTTGTGCCTGTGTCTCCACCACCAATGACATCTCTTATTGATGAGCCACGCTATGTGCTGGCAGACGGTGTGCTCGAAGCAACCACCTGCATCATGTTCTTTTAAATTCCCACTTCCAGGATGAGGAAATTGAGCTCGAAGGAGAGGAGGCTTCCTGCAAGAGATAGGATGTGCAGGGGCCGTCTGTCCCCTCCAGCCCAAGCTGCCAAGGCACTGTCCCTGCCTGAGGTGTGAGCAAGCACACGATGCACAGCCTGGGGAAATGCTGTCTTCTTGCTGAGACCTCGCCCAGCCCTGGGTGGAGGCTGCCAGGGTCGACTGAGGCCCTGTAAGGCCTCAGCTCCTGGAGGGACCAGTGTCTGTGCCTGGCAGGGCCATTAACTCAGCCCCTTGCCTCCCTTTCTTTTCCAATGAAAAGAAAAACTAAAACCAAAAAACACAGCACAGAGTCCATAAAAATTCCTTCCTAGCTGCTGCCCTGTCATTCCAGCCTGAACAGCAGGGAGGCTCAGCGAGCTGGTGTGTCCTGTGAGGCAGTTGGAGCCGGGACCCAGGCTGGCCCCGGACGGAAGGCAAAACCAAGTAGGAGTTATGAGAACTAGTCTCACAAGGCGCCCGAAGGCATTTTCTTTCACACTTTGAAAACTCCCCCTTGGAGCCTGAGTGGGGTTTTTATTGCTTGGAAGGAGTCCCAGGGAAATGAGGTGGGACTGGGGAGGGGGATGAGCCCCTCCAAATGCCCCTACCTCACCTCCCCAGCCCACTGTGTTCACAAAACTCAGTCCGTCCCCCCACCCCACCCCGTCCAGATCCCTGCCCGCCACCCCCCAGGCTCATGCTGGGGAAAAGTCTCTCATGGCAAAGTGGCCTTGGGGCCAAAGCAAACACTCTGAGCATTCCCAGGCTCCACAGATGCCTGGCACCAAGGGCAGTCTGCTCTGGGTAGACAGGGCCCCTGGATGGGAAAGTGTCCCTCGGCCAGGGTGGAAGGTAGAAGCCCTGCGCTGGCCTGGGCTGTGTTCTTGTCTTGCTGTGTGACTTGGGCAGGCGCTGTCCTCAGGCTCAGCCTTCCTGTCTATACAATGAAGGAGCAGAAACCCAGGATCTTTAAAATTTTCCAATGATAAAAACCAGAAGGATGACCTTAGGCAGAAGCTCAGGGTGGGAGCACAGAAAAGCAGAGCCAGTGTCGGCTGTTGACCTGAGTCCCCTCCAAAGGGGTTCCTGGAGCAGAACCAAACTTCAGCACTAAAGGTCTCTGAGAGCCACCGGGGGTTAGGTGCTGGGCAACTCTTGCCTTGGATTCCTTGCTAATACAAGGGCCTGGTGCCTATGCCTGGGGAGCTCTTTACAAAGCTTCATGGAGATGTAAGGAAAACCAGCTTTGGGGCATACAGGGCCTGGGTGATGGGAGCCCTGCCACCTGAGGAGGAGACCCCATTGTGATTCTGGTTTGGGCTTCTGCCTCTCTGGCCAAGCAGGAAGACCTAGGCAGAGACCCAATGTGTCCAGTGTGCCTGCAGCTCCACTTCCTGTTATCTGGGTCCTGCCAGCCTCACACCTTTTCTGCATAGTCTCTAATGCTGGGAACACCTTCATTCCTCCCTTAGCCTGTGGACTGGCATGTTTTCAAACAGCTTCATAGCAGACCATAGCTGGAAGGGCCTGTCCATCCCTGAGATGAAAAACTGGGGCTCAGAGAAAAGAGGTTTACTTAGGAGCTGGGGCTCAAGGTCTCTTTCAGTGATACCATACTGAGGAGCCATCTGTCCCTGACCTCCAGCAGCACTAACCACAAGACTCGGCAACCAGTATGTGCCGAAAATGTCCCTGAGAGCCTGGGGGGAGTTCACAGCACTCTCTCGATGGCTCATTTAATTAAAGCTTTTAGTCTAAGACATGCTACAGCATTTCAGGCAGCAACTGGGGAGAGCCGGGGATCCTGGACCAGAGACTCGTAAGTCAAAGGATCAACATTAGAGGCAGCTGGCCCAGTGGCACTGATGGTTATTGCTGGTCTGAGGTCAGCTCAGTGCCTACGGGCATCATCTCACTTGATGTCTAAACCCCAGAGCAAATGCAGGGTGGGGATGAATTTGTACTTTTATTCATTTAGTGATTCTGTTTCTCACGTCTCATGGGGCATCTTCCGCCTCTAAATTACATAGGATCTTAGGCTCACATGGAGACTCAGACCATCCCAGAAAAAGACCTGCTTGTGTTAGGAAAAACCAGAGCCCGAGAACTTGGGCAGGAGGGGCAGGCCAACAGGAGGTGTGCAGAGCCCCCCCAGGATAGGAACACTGTGCTTCCTTCTCTTTGAGGGCTTTGTCCATCTGCTCAAACTTCAGGGGAAACTGATGCCCAGAGGGCAATGGGCCTGGCTCCTATGTGTCCTGCACCCTCTGCACTTGCTTGATGGCACTCGCCAAGGCTCTGCATCCATCACTTACTGATGCTCCCTTTGGGCAGTCTTGCCGTGGTCCTGCCCAGCGCTCAGAAGGTGTCCTCTTCTCTACAGAGTGGGTCAGCCACTCTGTTCCCTTATTGATGCAATCCTCCACCCTGATATATGCTCCTATGTGTGCATAGGTATCTGTGTGCTTGGAGATGCGCAGACTTGGAGAACAGAGCTGGCATGGCCTCCAAAGACCAGCCAAGGCCCTAACTGCATAGAAGAAGACGTGGGAGGGTTTCCACAGGGCTCACATGACTTGGGAATGGCCTCTACCTTGGCTTGCCCTGGTCACACCCCACCCTGCTGCCCACCTCTGGCTCTCAGAGGCCGAGGATCCCAGAGAAAGCTCTGTTGCCATGCAGCCATCTGCGGACACACTCTTGGCCCTTTCCATGAATACCCATAAATCATCCTGCCACGGGCTGCTGCTTCTCTAAACTTCCTCTACTGTGTTTACATCTTGGGTAATGAGGGGCGAGGGGAAGCTAGCTTGCTCCAGGTGGCGATCCGGCCAGGCACTTACAGCCCACACCCCTGGCTCCTCGTGCTCATGAGTACATTCAGCAAACACCCAGCAAGGCCTCAGGTGACCCAGAGCCGTCCAAACCAGATCTGGTCCCCAGGGCCCCCTGGCCTAGAAATACAAGTAAGGAACCTGTGGCAATGGTACCAGGACAAGAGCTGCCACAAGGGTGCTGGGGGAGGAAGGGCGAGCTCAGCCAGGCAAGGATGGGAAGGACACTCCATGGCAGTGGGTGATGAATGTGACCCTTAGTGTTGGACAGACCCGGATTCGGGTTCTGCCTCTCTGTGACTTTCTGTATGGTCTTCAGGAAGTTCCCTGATCGGCTACATCTGTTTCTTGCTTGTGAAACTGGCTTGCCTTCTGCGACTCTTGGCAGAAGCAGGCCATGATGGATATCAGCACCTGGCAGAGTGGGAGCTCGACAAAGGCCACTTGCACCTCACCCGGAGGAGAGAGAGGAGCAAGTACAACAGGGTGCAGGGCTGGGCCTGGCGCACTGGGGCCTGTACATGGCCCACAGGGGTTGGACCTGACAGTACCTGGGGGAAGAGAGGCAGCTGGGGAGGCAGGAAAGGCGAGGCTCCTATAACTGGGCAAGTTTTCCTGGCAGTGGGAACCCTGCAGGAGCTCCAATGGAGCAAGAACAATGCAGGAGGGCGAGGCCTGGTGCCAGGGGACCCATTAGGACCCTGCGGCAGGATCCTAGGAGGAAGATGAGCAGGGAGAGTTGACAGAGAACATTTGGGGGAAAGAAAATGAGAAAACTGAATAAATTAAAGCTCCAAAGAAAATGATTTGTTCAAAGGGCTACAAGTGTGTTTCAGATCATCTCTCAGAGAGCTCTTCTCTGCTTCTTCTTGGAAATTTGGGGATCCCTGGAAGGTATGGAGCCTGTGCCCTGCACTGGGCCTCTTGGGGAGCTCAGGCCCCACTTACCCCAAGAAGCAGTGAGAAATTTAACAAACAGGCTGCCCTTTGGTGGAAACTTCCTTCTGCAACCTGACCAGATGGAGAAAAGTTGGCCAACCACAATTTACCTGTTGGGATAGAGAAGGGGCTCCCTCTTGCCAAAGAAAAGCTATTTTTCTTGTGAAACCAGGCTCTGTGTTTCAGATCGACATGTTGTGAAAAGGAAACCGTTTGGAGTCATTTGCCCACATTTACCTTTCAGACGTGGTTAGGGGCTGGGGGCCCATGGCTGGAGCTGACAGCCCAGCCCTCTGTCACCTCATGGGTTGGACCCACCTCTGGCGGGACTCCTGGTCACCCTGGATGGTGGACATGAATGCCCAGCCTAATTGGAACTCTTAATGGCTGCCAGCTCTTTCTCTTGCCCCTGCCTTGTTGGCAGCATACAAAACCCTGCCCACCACCGAAGAAAGGCACTCCCTGCAGCTCTCTGCCCTGGCTCCTGATTAGACAGGGGTGGCACATATGTTGCAATAAATATAGCTACAGTGATGCCTCTACCTCAGATAGGTAGGGAGAGGGAGAGCTCGGTAGGAGTACATTTCCAGTGCACCAAGCCAGGTGCTTTGAAACCCACGCCCAAAGGCTACAAAGCTCAACTCATTTTTGTTCCAGGATTTTTTTTTTTTTTTTTAAGATAGTGCACACCCTCCGCTTTATGGCAGGGGGCTGATAACGTCAACTTTTTTGTCAAAGGCTCAGTGATCGGGCTATGGAAGAACCATGTAGTGGCAAGTGTAGGGAGCAGCCCCTGCTTCCCTGGGTGGCCCTAGACAGAGCCTCCCCCTTGGTTTATCCTCCATAAGTGCAGAGCTGAGCAAGTGTTTCCCAAAGACACTGGGAAGAATCTCCAGGTGCACATTCACACGGGCTTCCCAGGCCTCTGCCCCGAAGATCCTGATTCATTATGTCTGTGGTGGGGCCTGGGGATTTGTTTATTTAACAAGTACCCAAGGTGATTCTGTCCAGGTTGCTGAGGAAAATTCTGGATGATATCTTTAGGGTACAGATTGGACTCTGGATTCCAAGGTCCCACTGCTGGGGGCACAGGATTTGGGGTGTACTGACAGTCCCTCCCTGGGACTTCCCTGGTATTCTAGGGAAACTCTTCTCTGTATATGGAGATTTCTGCTAAACGGGAATATAGGAAGACTGCTCTATAGAGACTGCAGGCAGAGGACAGCAGAGAGAGTCTTGTGACAGCAGGAGTTCAGGTGATAGAAAGAGGGGATGGTTCTGGTGGCAGGAGGAACACACAGAAAGAGGACAGGGGGATCTCAGTATTTTAGGACGATCTGTACCTGACCATTTACACAAGGTTTACTAGGACTGCTTCTGAGATGGAGTCCCCAGCATTAGACAGCCATTGTCTGTCTCATCTCTCTCAAAGTGGAGTCCCCTCAGCAGCCTCCATGCCCGATGTCACCACTTAGACTTTCCAGGCACAAGGAGCTTTTGGCCTAGCAAGCATGTCCTATTTGTTACTAGGTGCTCCTCCTGACCATTGGACAACTAGAAACTGCTTGGCACACCTCAGGTGGCCCAAGGAGGCTAAGTGTAAAGCAGACTCCATTGCACCGGAGCTTCACTTATAAAAGAGCAGAGAATTGTTCTTGTTCTTGTCTTGAGACTAAAACTGCAAAGTCAGACGTGGATGTGCTCTAAAAACCCTGAAGGAATCCTTTGTGTAGAGGGAAGATACAGCCTCACTTGCTCAGAGCAAAGCTCGCCTGGTGACCGTGCACCCCACCTTGGGGGCATGGGAGGGAGTGTCCATATCCAACTCCTGGGCCACCCACCCCTGTCCTCCTCACCTGTCCTCGATGCGGACCCAGAGGTCATTGAATTGCCGCGGTCGCTGGTGTTTATTCTGCCTCTTGTGCCACTTTTTTTGCCGTCCAAACTCCTCCAGCTGGTTGAGGCTGTCAGGGAGCAGGAGGTGCGGGGACAGGGCTGGGTCATCCTCCTCAGGCGGGGTGGTGGGGGTCACTGAGGGTGCTGCAGGGACAGCGGCAGCTGGGGTAGCTGGGGCAGGGCTGGCTGAGGTCCCCTCAGGAGGGGGCACTGGGCTCCCAGCAGCAGGGCTGGAAAGGGGAACATCACAGGAGTGTGTCATGCATATGTGATAGGGAAAGCAATTCTGTGGGAAAGTCACTGGGGAGGATAAAAAATGCAAAGACACCCTGCCCGGCCCTGTGAGAAGAAGCCCAGGAACACCGTCATCTGGTGTGAGAGATGGGACACCGATTCCGCCTTTCACCTATGTAGTCAATAAATATATATTAAGGTCCTACTTGGTACCAGGCACTCTTCTAGGAATTAAATATCAGCACAGACCAAAACAGATACTGTCCCTGCCCTCTTAGAACTTCTATTTTGGAGCAGAAGACAGAGTCGAACATATAGGACATCAGATGGCCACAACTGCTGAGAAGAAAATAGAGACAGATAAGAACCCAAGGGAGAGAGGGTGCTGGTCAGGGATCAAAGGGTGACATGTGAGCCTAGACTAGGAGGCAGTGAGGGAGCAGGTCTGGACGGTCTATGGGCATGTCTGATCTTGGTCAAGGTCAGGGTCTCACACAGCCACAGATCTGGTTGAGGGACGGTAGGCAAGTTATCTCTCTTCAGTGTGCTTCCTTAAAAATGGGGCTATGACAGCCTGTGCCTCACAGGGCTGGAGGATGATGTAGGTGAAGATGGGCACAGCACTTAGAATAGGGCCTGTCTCCTAATGCACCTGTCTCTGATGTTGTCCATCAGCAAAAGGACCTTCCTGTTGGGCAGGCACTGAAGTGTCATGTAGGCATGTCTGTGGAATTCATGGCCATACAGGGAGGGGTACACACATAGGCCCCAGGCTGGGAACATCCTCCACTCTCCCCACTTTTATTCTCTCTACTCAGTAGCCTCAGCGGAATTCCTTTTGGGGACATCCAACCCTGGGAGAAGGTTGGGAGTGGTTTCTGAGCAGGCAGCTTGCAAAGGTAGGTGGTACCCAAGGCCGCTTACAGTCCTGAAGCCTGTCCCCCCACTTCATTCTCCCAGCACAATGGGTGAGGGGCATCTCTTGCTTTGATGGAAAAAAGGCCATCAGCTCAGCCTGTCCTCTCCCAGCCCCCATGGCAACCCCAGATTCCCAGGGTCCAGGCTGCTAGGAGATGTCGCAGCTGTTGGGGAGATAATTCAAAACAGTCAGACAAAAAGATAGATCCAGGAAGCACCTGTGGCTGAGGATGGTTTTTATTGCTGGAGCCTACTCAGCGTCCCCACCCCCACTTGCTCCCTGTGCAGGAGACGAGGCTGAGAACCTGCAGAGCAGAGCCCGTGGGGGTGCAGTGGCGGACTCCTCCATTAAGGCCTGGTTTCCAAGATGAATAGGAGGCTCCCCAGCCTCAGAGCCTGCCAGCCTTCTCTGCCTTGGACAGGCCACACACAATGAGCTTTTAGGAAAGACCTTCAGGGATGTGCCGGGAGGGGGAGGCAAGGGGAGAGGAGGGAACTTGAGGAATGTCTTGACCCTGAAACTACCTTGGATTCTCCACCTCTTAAGCAAGACTGCTGGCCTCCCTCCCCCATACAAACTGCTTTGTGCTGGGTTCAAATGGTTCCTGCGGGAAGAGCGGTCTTTCAGGTTAATGCAGAAGATGCACTGGGGAGGAGGCTCAGTGCCAGTGTTTAAAAGTTCCTCTAGGAGTGCCATGGAGCCAGGGAAGTATGGCCTGCAGCTAGGAGATCGGCAGCTCATGTCTCTGGAAGATCAAGGTCTCAGTCCTTCCAGAACCCCCACTCCAACCTCCAGAGTTGGTATAAAGAGAAGTTAGGAGCTCAGGAGGCCCAGAGCCAGGCTGTCACTTACATGAGCTGAGTTTCCTACTGTAAAGACCTTCACCTCTCTGGGTTCTTTCACTTATCAAGATGGGGACACACAGTTCCTCCACTGCGAGGTTGTTGTGAAGATAACAAGTTAGGAGTTAGAAGGAGCCCTTAGAGTTTGGTACAGAGTAAGCAGACATTAGTGACCTGCTGTGACTATTCAAGCTTTTTCTCGGTCCCTGGGCCCTATAACCTTAAGGACAGGGGTTGAAGTCATGCTATGGTCCCCTCTTACAGGTTGGTGAAGAAGGTTTTTGTGTAATGAATAGAGAGTGGGCTTCACGGAACCCTGAGTTTGAGCATCCTGACATTGACCTCTGGGACTGCATGTGATCTAAATCCTGGCTCTTTCCTGGTGCTGGTGCTATGGACCCATAGACAGACTGAGCTGGTCCTTGTCCTTGGGCAGCTCCTGAACTTGGTGTTGGGGATAGGGCAGGAAACAGGGGATAGGAAGAGAAGATGGGGAACAGAGTGGGTGTGCCTGGCACAAAAGTCAGGGGCGAGGGGTGGGTGTGTCCTGGCAGGAAAGCCAGAGGCAGCCATGGAGAGGGTGCAGGCAGGAAGGTGTGGACCAGGTGAGGGCATGACAGCAGAGCTGCCAAGGAATGGGGCTAAATGCAGGGAAGAGGCCAGGCTGTGGCTTGTCCTCCCACAGCATCATGGAGATTTAGGGCTGGGGCATCCACTAAATCCTCCAATCCCCATCCAATTCACCAGTGTTTCAATTCCAAGCCTCTGACAAATCCTAGTGCTACCCACTAAAATTCCCTAGTGGGATTTGCAAAATCCCACTGCCTCATCTGGTCCCACTGTGACCTGCCATCAAGATTGGATACCAGCACCCTTTCTGCTTTCCTACCTGCGGTCCTGCCTCCAGTTGTAGGTGTCTGGTCCAGTTGGTCCCCAGGAGGCCCCATTACAATATTATTATTTTTTTTTCCAAAACTCTACCCTCAAGCCTGAGCAGGAAGGCAGGGGTAGCCAGCCATGAAGCACGTGTTCAGGCATGGCCTGTGACAGGCAGCTGCAGGCCAGCCAGTCCCAAGATGCTCTAGGCCCCTGTTGCTTACCTGTGGATGGCCTGCCCCGCAGGAGTATGGTCCACCTCCAGCCCTGCCTGCCGCAGGACATCAATGACAGTGTTGTTCCCCAGAAAGTGACCTAAAACATAAGACACAAAGCAGGCTCAGTCACATGTCAGGTTGCCTGTCAGTGGAGACAGGCTTGGGACATCCCCAGCATTTGTGTTTGGACCAGTGAGCTGCACCAGTCAAGGCCCTAGACTCCAAAAGGCAATATGGCTCCCTGGGTAAGATGTGGTCCTGCTGCCACCCTATCTGGGTTCCTATTCTGGCTCTGATGCTCACAGCTATGATTAAATCCCCAGTTTCCTCATCTGTAAAGTGGGAATGATTGGAATGTTGGTCGTAAAGGTTATAGAGAGCAATGGCAGGCACATAGTAAGGACTCCAAGAGCTTCCAGTTGCATTATTGTGCTTCCTGCCATTAAGTCGACCCCAGCCACTGACTGTCCAGGCTGGAGAACCCTTCAGCAGTCACGTAAACCCAGCTCCAAGAAACTCTCCAGCCCCAGCAGGCCTACAGCTCATCTTTGTAAGTTCTAACTTGTGCCTCCTCCTACAGCATGGGGTAGGAACCTTTGTATCCTTGTGGGTCTCCTGGACACGTCCCTAAGGACAGAGACTACATCACCATTGCCTAGTGCCAACTCAACACATACTGGTAGGGTTTGAACATCATAGATTCATTTGTTCATCATCTACCCAACATTTCTGGAGCACACACAGTGGCTAATATCCTGGGATGGCCATTGAGGTCTCAGAACCCTGTGGGGAAGCCCAGTGAAGCCCTGCTGATTGCAGGGTCCAGCAGACACAGACAGTGGCCTAGAGGAGGTACGAACACAGAATGATCCCTCCAGGGGTGGTATCAGAAGTGTGTGTCGTGGGGAGGGGAGCTGTCTTCTTAAACACTCCCTCCACTATTCATTTGTTCAGCAAACATTTATGATGCCCTTACCCTGTGACCTGCTCTGTACCAGGCACTGTGAATATACAAATGGAGAACTTAGTGTAAATCTGCAGAAGAGAGAGGGGAAATGCCTTTTTTTTAAAATTTTAAATGCAGGCATGAAGTCTGAGAACTCAGGGGAAGCCTTTCCCAGGTTCAGGTTAGGGACAATCCTCAAAAGGCCAAGTGACTATGAAAGCAGGGACTGCTGGGAGTCAGCATCCTGCAATGCCCCTCTGTTTCCTGGTCCTCAGATTCCCTCCTACTCAACGTGAGCGTTGGCTGGGTGCTTGCCCAGGGCCCTGGCCCCTCCCACTGTGAGTCAGTCTTGTGAGGCCACTCCCCTGAGCAGCACTCCCCGCTCCTGCTCACCTTTCATCCCAGACCTGGGGGGATATCTCTGCCCTCTGACTCTGATTGCCTGTGATGGGTGGTGACAGGTGGGAAGCAGGAAGGTCAGCATGCTGACAGCCCCAGGGAGGTGGAGGAGGACAGAGAATGGACAAGCCGGCAGGAATGGACAGGCTTCCGGCGCAGATGAAGCCTGGCTGGGCCTGTGCAACAGCTGGAGCAGAGGGGCCTGTCCTACAGCCCTGTGGCCTGCCAGACTCCTCTCCTCTCCCAGGTTGCCCATCACCCACAGTCCCTGCAGTCCCACCTGGGGATCATGGGAAAGACCACTGGACTAGGAAGGCCAGATGTTATGGACCAGCATCCCCTCCGCTGAAACCCTGGGCACATCCAGTACCCTCCCATCCCTCAGGCGGGGAGAGTTTATACTGCATGGTGTCCAGGGCTCCTCTAGCTCAGTCTGTACAAAGGTTTTTGTTTGACTTGAGACCGTTACAGAAAGACATTCCCATTCCTCCCACTCCCTACCAATTTATTCCATTTGCTTAGCCAACACTAAATGCTATCTTGCGCTGGACAGTGGTGTCTAGGCAGGGGCCATTCCAGGTAGTTTTTCTTGAAAATGGGGCTCTTGTGATTGGAGTACTAAGCATGATGCAGATAGACACATGACAGCTGGTGTGGGCACACGGGAAACATCCAAGCCAGCTTGGGGGTAGGGGGGACTTCTGGGGGGTAGCTTAGGCAACAAGGTGAGTATGGGAGTGGAGTGGTACTTGAGAAAGGATGGCATGTGCAGAGGCTAGGATGGGAGTGGGGTGTGTGGGGGAAAGAGACCTGGAGAGCACAGACATGAACAGGCCCTTTTGGAGCTCTGGCCCTGACTTATGCTGTTGAGAACAGAAGACCTATGCTCTTGCCAAGCTCTGAGTCTCCTCCTCAGTCCATGGTCCTGGACAAGTGGCTTCTCTGCCACCAGCCTCTATTTTCCCATATATCAGATGAATCCATAGCACTTTGGCTCCTTGGGGAAAGTGATAAAGCTCTAATGAGGTAGGAGTGGACACCTTTTGGAAAGGCCAGAGCTCTCATGAATGATGGATGAGCTGACAGTTCTGGCTAGTCCAGAAGCATCCATCTTCTGGCTTGCTCTGTTGCATGGGTGGGCTAGAAGGGCACAGACAGTGGTGGCCTGCAGTGTCCTGGCTGCACACACACCTCTGCCAGAAGCCCCTGGACTCTGTTCCTGGCAAAAGAGGGAATCCCTCTGCCTCCATGGAGACCTGAGTTTAAAGATAAGGGCCTCATGGTCCAACACTGGTCTCTGTGTCTACCCAGAGGATTTCAAGAGTAGCCAGGGAGGGCAGCATGCGTCAGGCTGCAGTGGAGCAGCAGCAGCAAGTATCTGCTGACTGCTGGAGGCTTGGGCCTGGGCGGAGGAGGCATTCAGAGGGGCCTAGGCCCCGGCATGGCCCCAACACAGCCCTGACCACAAGGGCCTCTCAGGACACCACTGGATCCTGAGCACTGTGTGGCAGTGTTTCCCGGATCTGGTTGGTGCTTCCCTGTGTTCCCTCAACTCAAGGGTGTCAGACCACTGCTGCTCTGAACAGAAGACTCGCGATATCTGGAGAAGATGGCAGCAATCAGGGGAGATCCTGATCTTCTGAAATTCTCATCCTCTCCTGCCGCAAGCCACATCTGCCCCTCCCTTGTTCTGGGGGTGAAGAATGGTGTCCTCCCTCTGCTCCTTGTATAAGGTGCGCCGCGCCATGTGGTCTGCGTGGTCACGCACACCCAGCCTGTGCTCCCACCATCCCTCCCTCTCTGGGGCTTGACCTCACAGACCCTAGAGCTGGACTGATGAAAGCTGCACTCTCCAGGTCCCTGGACCTTCTCCTGCCCTGTGCATTCCTCACTACCCCGCATGGCTCTGGCTGTGTTCTTCCTCGTGGGCTTTTTCCTCCTGCCTAATATAATGCCAAGGCACTTGGGGTCCTGCCCTTGGTCTCTTTGCTCTTCATTCCGCTCACTCCAGGGACAAGTCATCCACCCTGCCAGGTTCAATTACCACACAATGCTGATGACTCTGGAGTTGTCCCCTTGGCCCAGACTCATCTGTCTAGCCACCTGTGGACAGCTCACCTAATGCTCCTCAGCACCTACCAACCAAGCTTGCCCTGCTTTCCAGAAAAGTCCTCCCCAGACAAGCCGAACCACCCCTGTGTGGATTCCTTTCCCTCCTCATCCTCCTTCAGTCACCAATGACCTCTGATGTTTCCTCTCAAAACACATGGGACTGCCCCTGCCACTACCACCTGCTGCCTGAGCCTCTGCAGAAACCATCCTGTTCTCCTTAGTCCCCTCTCCCTACCGCTGCTACACTGACCTTCCCATACCCCAGAGCTGACTATCAGAACAACGGCTCCCAAAGAGCCATCTGAAGGGGGGACTCCAAACTCTTCTAGAGTGAGGCCATTTCTGACCCATCTTTGTTCCCAGAGCCAAGCCCAAGTCTGATGCATGGCAGTGACTCCATGAACATTTGTGAGCGAGTGAGTGACAAAACCTGTTACTCCACATCCTTTCTGTGATTTCATCCTACCCCACGAGACCCGAGTCCCCTCCATTCATCCCCTGCCTTGTCTCTTGGTGATACTTCTCCGCATTCCACCAACCTCGGGAGCTTCGCCCTCTGCACCAACCCTTGAGCCAGGGTTCGGCATGTGTTGTCCCCAGGGGCTGGCAGACAGGGCTGAAGCTTGTCTCTTGGGTCAGAAATCCTGAAAAATGTACCACACCCATTCTGGAACCTGCAGGGAAGGTTGTGGAAAGTTTCCAAAAGGGCCTCATGGAGTTTGGACTCGGCCTGCCTGGCCTGCGCTCCCTGGGTCTCCTGGCTGCTGCTCAGCAGCTTAGCCCTTCAGCACTGGCTTCCAGCTGTCCTCTGGCCAGCTCTCTGCAGGAAGCCTCCCCCATATCATCTGCAGAGGCATGGGTGAGCAGAGAAGGAGGGAGGGAGGGTCGGGGTGGGTGGGGCACACAGACCTGCGGTGACAAAGAGAAGGAGGTAGAGAGAAGAGAGAGTCTCAGAGAGGGGCATGCAAGAGGAGGAGAGCTCCAGGACCTGTGGGAACAGATAGAAGGACAAAGAGGAGAAGTGGAGAGACAGACAGTAAGAGACAGAGACCATGTAGGGAGAGAGAAAGGGAGAGACACCAAGACAAAGAGAGAAAGAGATGGAGACAAGGACTAGATAATGAGATCTGGAATACAGAGAAGCCAGAGAAGGAGAACAAGGGAAAACGGAAGAGACCAGAAAGAGAATCCAGAAGCCGAAGGCCTGGAGGGAGACCACAGGTCTTCAAATTGATGGGGGTTGGTGGGCGCTTGCCTCCCCTGAAATAAGCCAGGTCCCACTTAAAGAATATTTATACACAACAGGACAAGGCACACTGCTCAGAGGGACCAGCCCTGTGATGTTTCAGAGCAGAGAAAAAGGCTCCCTTTCTTCTGCGTGCAAGTGGGGCTGTGCACTCTGTGGAAAGGAGTCCATACAGGGTGGTTCAGCTTGGCTAGTGGGGCACAGGCTGGGGGAGCAGAACACAGGCCAGATCTAGCTGATCAGCCGGATAGTCCCAAATGCTCCACCGATGCAGAAAGACTGGTAGGACAGGGCCTAACAGAAAGCCCAGCTCATCAACTGACCGTGTGACCTTGGGAAGTTTCCTCTCCATTCCTGGGGCCGTTTTCTCACATAGAGTCCCAGGGTCTCCTGA